ATGAGTGAGACCCTCAACACAGAGAAGGAATAACACAGAGGAGATGAAGGGCACAATAAACAAAATGAGAAACATGCCTGATGGAATGAACAGCTGGATGGTAGAAGTGGAGGAATGAATTAGTGATCTAGAAGATAGAGTAGTGGAAAGTAATCAAGTTGAACAAAAGAGAGAAAAGAATTATGTAAAATGAGAATAGACTTAGGGAACTCAGTAACTCCATTATGCAATAACATTCATAGTGTAGGAATCCAAGAAGAAGAAGAAGAGAGAAAAAGGGCAGAAAATTTATTTAAATAATAACTGTAAACATCCCTAATCTGGGGAAGGAAACAGTACATCATCAGATCCAGGAGGCACAGAGAACCACCAACAAAATTGACAAAAACAGACACACACCAGCACATATTGCAATTAAACTTGCAAAATACAGTGATCAAGAAAATATTTTTAGAGCAGCAAGACAAAAGAAGTCATTAACTTACAAGGGAAAACCCATAAGGCTAGCAGGAGGGTTTTTTTTTTTTCTTTTTCTTTTTTTTTTAATATTTTTTATTTATTTCTAGGAGAGAGAGAGAGAGACAGCGTGAGCAGGGGAGGGTCAGAGAGAGAGGGAGTCACAGACTGAAACAGGCTCCAGGCTCAGAGCTGGCAGTCAGCACAGAGCCCGACACGAGGCTCAAACCCACGAACCGCGAGATCATGACCTAAGCGAAAGTTGGACGCTTAACCGACTAAGCCACCCAGGCGCCCCAAGCAGGAGGGTTTTCAACAGAAACTTAGTAGGGTAGAAGGGTTGGCATGATACACTCAAAGTGCTGAAAGGAAAAAATTTGCAGCCAAGATAATGCTATCCAGCAAGGCTAAATTTATTCAGAATAAAAAGAGAGATCAAGGTTTTCCCAAACAAAAAACTAACGGAGTCATAACCATTAAATCAGCTTTTCAAGAAATATTAAAAAATCTTATAAAATTCAACACCCAAAAAATGAATAACCAAATTTAAAAAATGGGCAGAAGACATGAATAGACGTTTTTCCAAAGAAGACCTGACACATGAGGCCAACAGACACATGAAGAGATGTGCCTCCCCCTGCTGGGAGCCACACTGGCCTCACTGGATGACAGTCACAGCGAGGAAATGGCAAACCACAACTGGGAGAAAATCTTTGCAAAACACATATGTGATAAAGGACTGGTATAAAAAAATATGGAAAATTCTTAAAGCCCAACAATAATAACATGAAAAATTCAATTAAAGGGGGTGCAATAGGTCAGAATAGACATGTTCTTAGAGAATATATACAGATGGCAAATAACCTATGAAAAGATACTCAACTTCATGTGTTATTAGGAAACTCGAAGTTAAAACAACAATGAAATACCACTACACAACAATTATAATGGCCATTAACCGAAACAGAAATACCAAATGATGGAGGTGTATGGAATGACGGCAATCATTCATTGTTGTTGGGAATGCAAAACAGTACAGTCACTTTGGAGACCGTTTGGCAGGTTTTTTTTTTTTTAATTAAAAAAATTTTAAATGTTTTTATTTATTTCTGAGAAAGAGAGACAGCGTGAGCAAGGGAGGGTCAGAGAGAGAGGGAGATACAGAATCTGAAACAGGCTCCAGGCTCTGAGCTAGCTGTCAGCACAAAGCCGGACATGGGGCTCGAACCCATGAACCATGAAACCATGACCTGAGCTAAAGTCGGACGCTTAACAAGCTGAGCCATCCAGGCGCCCCTAGCAGTTTTCTTTTTTTTTAAACTAAAAACACTCTTACCATGCCGGAGGCTGGTTCCAGCAGGTCCAGGGGTCCCTGAATGATGGACGGTCTCAGTGAGAGAGAGAGAGTGAGAGAGCCCTGAGATTCTTTCTGGTCACCAGGCAGGCATCTCTGTCCTGTCGGTTTTGGTGTCTTTATTTGTAGGTTAAATGATAACATGATATCAGAAAAAGGAATTTTTACAATGGATAACTCTTTGTGATAAGATGCTTTAGAAAATGTACAGAAGCAGGTTTTACAAACATATTCTTGCAGAACTATTCCAATTATAGTGAGGTTAAGTAAATCTTATAATTAAGGAATTAACAGGGTATTCTTAGTAAAAGACAGGATACATATTTGTTCTAAGTTAATAACGCTAAAGTTAGGTCATAGGTTAAGTGTATAGATGGGCTGAGTCATTCCGTCTGGCTCTCAAGAGGATAAATGTTTTTGAGCTGGTTAATAAGTTGTTTGTGGAAACCTATTTGATGCTGAATGTGTGAACACCATGGAGGCCCTAAATGTGTCGGCCTTTTGTTTTTGGGTTATGTTTTAACTACTTTTATCTATCCTCATCCCAGCCACCTGTAAGGGAGGGTGTTTGCAGAAGGTAGGCCTTAGGGAAGGGACTGCCATACATCACCAGTTAGAAAAGGTATAAGTATTAACTTAAGTTCTGCCCTTATCTGTTCCTTAACTCTAAATTAGGCTCTTTGCTTGGGGCCAGGCTCAGTTGTAACTCTTCTGTTCTTAACCCCCTTTATTATCTAAGTCTTGAATCTGCAAGGCCCATAAGAAGAGCCTTTTGACAATCATCCACAGAGCTATCATCTAAAATCTCTTTTGTAAAGGCAGGAATATGCTTTTCCTTATGAGGTATCTGTGTTCAGAATATTGGTCTGATATGGAATATTGTGAGACCTGGTCAATACCAGCAGGCTCATTTCCAACATGAGCCAGTAGTAGCAGAAAGAGATACCAGTTTCCGTTTCTCATGGCAGGAGCTGTGCAAACACTGTCGTTTCCTTGCTGTGACTGCCATCCAGAGAGACCGATGCAGCTCCCAGCATTACCATATGAACCAGCAATTGTCTACTTGATATTTACCCAAATGAGTGGAAACATATATCCACATACAATACTTCCCATGAATATTTACGGCAACTTTTTTCATCATTTCCCAAACCTGGAAGCAACAAAAAAGCCCTTCAGCAGATGAGCAGAACAACAAACTGATACAACTATCATATGGACTATTATTCAGTGATAAAAAGAAATGAGCTACCAACCTACTAAAAGACATGGAAGAAACCTTTAATGGACGTTGCTAAGTGAAGGAAGGCAATCTAAAAAGGCTACATACTGTATGGTTCCCACTACATGACATTCTAGAAAGGCAAAACTATGGAGACAGTAAAAAGATCAATCTTTCTGATCCATGGGATCAGAAAGAGGGAGGGAGGGATGAATAAACAGGTGGAGAATGGAAGATTTTTAGGGCAGGTAAAAGTATCCTGTATGATACTATAATGGTGAATACATGTCATTATTCATTTGTCAAATGTTGAGAATATACAGCACAAAGAATGAAACCTAGCGTAAATTGTGGAAGTTAATTAATAAGAATGTATTAGCATTGGCTTCTCAATTGTAACAAATACGTAATGCAAGGGATTAATTATAAGGGAGTGGTGTGGAGAGGGAGAGTGGAGAGAAGGGGTATTGACTATGGAAACTCCATATTCTGTCAATTTTTTTGTAAACCAAGAACTGCTTTAAAAATATTTTTTTTAATGTAGGAAACCAGAAATTAGACTGTGTTTCATTTTCAGCTAGGTGGAAGGGCCAAGAAGTGCCCCTTGAGGTCTCTGGCTAGACAGAGGTCTGAAGGAACAGAGAGGCCGGTTCTGGGACACCCTTCCACTCTGGGTGCAGGGCACACCTTGGACCAAGAAGGGAAGACCTGGACTGCAAGACCTGCTCTGCAGCCACAGCTGACAGTCAGGCTTCTGTGATGCAATGAGAATGTTTTCATCTTAGGGCACCTGGGTGGCTCAGTGAGTTAAGTGTCCAACTCATGATTTCGGCTCAGGGCATGATCTTGTGATTCCTGTGTTCGAGCCCCGGGTCAGGCTCCACGCTGATAGTGTGGAATCTGCTTGGGATTCTCTGTCTCATGCTCTCTCTCTCTCTCAAAAAAAAAAAAAAAAAAAAAAAAAAAAAAAAAGAATATTTTCATCTTGCACCGAGAAGAAAACATTTCTCCTGAATTATTCTTGTGTAGAAATAAGTTGATCAGTGTTGACACAGAAAAACATACAACTTAAAAGTCAGAGCTTTTAACAGTTGAAAAGGGCCCTGAAATTAATAGTTTGCTGCCAACAGAAGAGAAATAAAGGTTGCTGCTGTGCCGCCTGCCTCTGTCTTTTGTGTCTGAGGGGGAGAAACAGGATGAAGAGGATGACAGATTTCACAACAAAATAAGAGCCTTATTGAAAGACACCAAGATCGTTTTTAAGTAAAACAACAGGTTCTCATGACAATTCTGCAACTTCCTATTATCATCTACGAATACGTTTACTTCAGCTGAGACGACATCGGCAAATCACTAGTAAATTGAAACTGACACAGAAGCGATCAGCAGGGGAAGGGGAGGCGGAGAGCCCTGTGTGTCTCTCAGTGGACAGCCGGCAGTGTTTGGGGATAGACAAGCAGCCAAGCACCAGGAAAAAGTGACTTTTGTGGTGTCACATTCTTTTAGTTTTAACAAGGAAACTAAACGGAGGGCTTGTGTGAATCTGCTTGGCCAAGGGCCAGAGCAGGCCTGTGTGTGACTTTGTGCCACAAGAGGCAGGAGACTTTGTGTCCAGGAGCCTCTTCCTTGTTCTGGAAAAGATCTTATCTCTGATCCCTGGTATGTTAGGACACCGTGAGATCACCCACCTCCTGAGCCATCATGAAAGGTGTTAGGAGCACATAGTGAGAAATTAAAGTTGATGGCCACTCAGGAACCATGCTTGAGTTCTGGAATCAGGCTTGCCTAGGTGTGTGTGTTTAGTGTATGGGGGTGGGGAGGTCGCTACAAGGAGTGCCTATGCATTTGGGGAGATGGTGGGAAACAGCGACAATTTTTTCTCAACCAGACAGGAAAAGGAAGACGGGTTATACCTTTTCTGGGTAAAACTGGTTTTAATTTAATGCCAGGAGGAAGTCGAGGGCTGCCTCACCATCACCCTAGTCCTTTCTAGAAACTTCTTTTGATAAGTCTTGATTTCCTGGTGATTATTCCATAGTCACAAATCTAAAACACTTTATGTTGGAAGACAAGTTTACCACCTGCTGATCCCAGGTATTCTGCAGCATGTTGTGATTCCACAGGTACTCAGGGGAGAGGACCTTGAAGGGTTTGTGGTAAAGCAGATACTTGTTCAGGTGACTCTCACCTTGCCTCGTGGCCTTGATGTGGTTGACTCTGTCGAACATCATTGCATCGTGGCAGGCTTTGGTGAGACTGTAAACCTCTGCCACTGATCCCCCAAAAAAGGCCCCTGTGTAGTAAAAGTCCCCTTCATCTTCAGGAATATGGGCTTGTGACTGAGGCCGACGTTCATAGGGGAAGTCGGTCCGACTGAGCCCACAGTAGCCAGGATGCAGGGTGCCGAACAAGGGGGAGAGGATCTCCACGCCCACGTGGTCACTGAACTTCATGTCCACATCTACACACACAAGGTAATCCACCTCCCGGTGGAAGCGCTGCTGGGAAAAATTGCTGATTACCTCCATGCGGTGCATGGAGATGTCCTCCCAACGGGCATAGCTCCGGACGGTGAGGATGATTATCTGCCTTCCCTTTTGGATGTTAATATGAGGAACATAGTCTGGCCTGTCCGTGAAGATGTAGTAGTTCACCCTGTGTCCCACCATGAAGTACATCTCTGCAGACAGCAAGAACTGCTTCAGGAAGATCACGTATGATTTTACAGAAAATACAGTTAATCCAATGGTGGTATTCTGTCGCCAGAACTGCTCATTCAGAATGGCAGAATTGAAAGTCCCCTCCCAGATGATGGGAGCCAGCCAAGGGGTCATGACAAGGACATCTTTCCTAGAGGGTGTTAGAACATCTGGCTGGAGATATACCATCTTCGATGATTTTATACTTTCCAGGCCATGGATTTTGCTAACACCTTTTCTCATCCCAGCTGAGGTGCTTCCTAGCATCTGGTTTCTTGGATTCAGGTAGTAGTAGCCAAAGAAGGCCAAGGCAAGAGCTAGTAAAAGAAGGAAGTTCACTCGATGAGGCAAGTAACACTTTAGGTTGTCTGAGAATGTCCTCAGCAGCTGAGCCATGACCCACTTCCAGTTATTGCACCTTAGATATCCTGGATGCTGCTAAGGACCTGCACCTCCTCAAGGCTCCACTCACAGCGGCCTCCCTTCGGCAGAGTGAGGTGGAGTGCGTTGACTATGAGGTGCTCATGCCGTCTGCTTCTCCTGAGGTCCCACCTCCATGCGAAGGGTCCCTGGCAGCTGGGAGTTCAGGGTCACTGAGCTAAGTAAGATTTCCAGACTGGCAGAACCTTGATAAATTCAGTTCTGATTTGAGGTTTATCAGATAACCAGGTAACAGGACTCAGTCAATGGACCACTAGAACCTCTGGGCCAGCATGTAGGAGAGAAGTCCAGCCTCCTGAAACTGGCTCATGAAGTCCACTGAGCAGGTAAAGGACAAAGATTGTGATGAAAGCAAGGCAGGGCAGTAGCCAACAGAGAGCCTGAGCAGGAGAGGGCTTGGCCTCCAGCCTTCCCTTGACACTTACTGGCTATGAGATATTTGCATAAGCACTAAATTTCCTGAAAGTCAATAACATTGAGAACAGAATATCTTCAAGTTCACATTCAGGCAGGCTCATGTGGGCCATCATTCAGGAGGCCTGATTTGGTAAGGATGCTGCAAGAGAAGATCTACAGATCAAGAACTGTTTTCCTTTATTCCTCTAATAATCACTTAAAATCCCACTGAGCAGTTACTCTCCAGATACTGGGCCTTATACTGTGTTAGGATTAGGCTGCTAAGCTTTGTGTGTGTTATGTTGCTGACTCCTCAAAACAAGGCTGGGGGATGGACGCTACACTATCCTCAATGTCTAAGTGGGGAAACATGCTCAGAGAGGTGAGTGAACAGCCCGTGACCACATGGCCACCTGGTAAGTGTGAACTAAGCAGCCAGACTCCAGGATTGGTGCTGAGATCCTCACCGGCCCCGCTGGATGACAGTCACAGTGAGGAAATGGCAACGTTTGCACAGCTCCTGCCATGAGAAACGAAAACTGGTATCTCCTTCTGCTACTACTGGCTCATGCTGGAAATGAGCCTGCGGGTATTGACCAGGTCTCACAATATTCCAAATCAGACCGATATTCCCCACACAGATTCCTCATAAGGAAAAGCATATTCCTGCCTTTACGAAAGAGATTTTAGATGAAAGCTCTGTGGATGATTGTCAAAAGGCTCTTCCTATGGGTCTTGCAGATCCAAGACTTAGATAATAAAGGGGGTTAAGAACACAAGAGTTACAATTGAGCCTGGCCCTGAGACAAAGAGCCTAATTTAGAGTTAAGGACAGATATCCACATCCACCCAATTGTTTCTGCTTGGAGTACTGACCCCCAAGACATCTTATGATCAGTATTCGTAGTGACTTATTCTGACCTTGAATTTGCTAATTACACCTTGTGAAGGAACCTATTGTAGGAACTTCTTCTGTGATTATGGGAGCAAATATTGTGTTTCCTGAAAGACCTATTTTTCTTAATACTTCTCCTTAAACAAACAAGCTATTGACCCCCTGCTCACAAAGAACTAACTTCACCCTTTTTATGCTAAAAACATTGTCTTGTATGCTAAAGATACCTCCCTTCCGCATAGGCTAAGCATCTAAATCACCTACCTCAATCACTATTGTTAAAAGTTATGCATGAGTCTTCTACAAATTTATGTTCTGGAAAATTCTTACACTTCAAATAAATTTGTCATCAGAAATCATTGTCTAAGGCAAATGCCGCTTCTGTGCCGTCCCCCAAACACTTAATTATAAAATAAAGTTGAGCCCCAGTCAGAGCAGAGATGCCTGCCTGGTGACCAGAAAGAATCTCGGAGCTCTCTCATCCCTCCCTTGCCGACACCGTTCATCCTTCAGGAAATTCTGGACCTGGCGGGAGCTGGTTTCCGGCAGATTGGGTTCTTGGCCACTCTGTACTCTAATCCTCTGCCTTGCCTGTGTCATTTTGGCAGTTTCCTTTTGCCAGGCTCTTTCCCCAGTCAGGTTCCTTTCATATCCTTCCTTTTGCTTGTCATGTCCGTTGACCCTAGGCAGGGCCCTCAAATGGAGAAGGGGCCCTGATCCAGGGCCATTTTAGACTCAAGGCTTGTCGTACTCTGCCCACACCTGTATCTCCCTCTGAGATCCTAGTCTGTTCCAAGCTTATGTCTCTTGGAAAATAAAATGTCTGGCAGGCTTCTCCAGCCCACTGTGGGACTAACAGTTGGTATACAAGAGTCCCATGGTGGGGAGGGAGCACCTACCATCTGCACCCTGAAGCTGGCTGGTGTTTGTGTTGTTCTGCGACACCTTGTTTCTGCCTCCCACAGAAGTAGGTGGCTGCAGACATGGCTTCTCCATGCTTTCTGAAACCTCCTTAGGGTAGTTCTGAGCATGTTAGGAGGAAGCAATGAGTGACTTTTGATGAGTGTCTTAAGGGTCTGACACCTTGCCTTTGTGGTCCAGATTGTGACATTTTGCCTAGCTGTGCATAAGAATGTTTGTGTAATCTTTTTTTTTCCTTTTAAGATTTTATTTTATTTTATTTTTATTTATTTTTATTTTTTTTTTTAATTTTTTTTATTTTTTATTTTTTTATTTCTGGGAGAGAGAGAGAGAGAGACAGCGTGAACAGGGGAGGGTCAGAGAGAGAGGGAGTCACAGACTGAAACAGGCTCCAGGCTCTGAGCTGGCAGTCAGCACAGAGCCCGATGCGGGGCCCGAACCCACGAACCGCGAGATCATGACCTAAGCGAAAGTCGGACGCTTAACCGACTAAGCCACCCAGGCGCCCCAAGATTTTATTTTTAAGTAATCTCTGTACCCAGCATGGGGCTTGAATTCATAACCTCGAGATCAAGAGTCAGATGTTCTACTGACTGAGCCAGACGCTCTACTGACTGAGCCAGACAAGCACCCCAAGAATGTTTGTGTAATCTTGATCGTCACCGCTAGTCAATGATGCTAGTATAGTGGCAGAATATCAAGACAACCCTGTGATGTTGCAAATGCCAGAAAACTGAAGCACTGCTTTGATGAACAAATGACATCAGAGGATAAGGAGCATGTGCTTGACATGCTTGTGGGTCTAGCCGTACGTGTCTGTGGCTCTGGTGCCTGTCTGGGGACTCTGCTCATCCCAGAGCCGTGGAGGAGAGAACCCAATCCCCTGCTCATCGTGGCATTTCCCTGGGAATCTTGGACGTTCAAGAACCTCACAGAAAGAAAAGGCAGAAGGGATGGGGCGGACACTAGCGGTGCACGAAAAGACCAGGAAGAGAGAGTCAGTGTAGCCTCTGACCACTCGGGCCCTGACTGCTTGGCTCTACCAGGCCACTAGCCCGGTAACCCCAAGGCTCTCCTGTCTCCATGGCACCACCCGGCCAGTGGGTCAGGCCCCCTCAACAACTCAAGTGCCTGGATCCTCTTTAGACTATTGTTACTACCACTGGCCACTTACACTGTCCAGACTTTATCCTAGCACCCCCAACCCTCTGTCCATGCTTCCCTAACACCCTCATTTTACTTCTTCCTGTAGAACCCAGGGGGTTATTCTGTGGCTTACATGCCACGACACATTCTCCAAAAGGACCCCAAGCTCCCTAGACCTGTAACACACCAAGACGAGGACTAGAAAGTATCCTCTCAGTTGCTGTCACATCTGATGGGGACAAGGCCCTGCTTCGGCTGCGAGTCCCTGTAAGAACAGCAGGAGGAAGCTGACCTGGAACAATAAATTGCTGTAGGTCCACTGCAGCCCCCATCCTCTCCCAGGAACCCATGGACTCATCGGGAATACTGGCAAGGCCTCCACAGCAACTTCATTCTGCCCTGCCCCAGAACACCGACTCCTAGCTATCCCTCCAGATGGGACAAGTGACCTCTTCCTCCTCTTTTTGCTATATTGGAGGGAGCTTTATGAGAGCTTTTGAGGCATATGTTTGGCTACTCTTACGCCCAAGATTGAGAAGAATCCCCCTTTACTTGCTCAGATCCAAAAGCCACACTCCAAACGAGGCGTCAAGCCCCTTTCCATAAGCATCCAACGATTTTGCAGTGCAACTTGGTGTCTCTTACCCCTTAAGGCCTCATCAAGTTTCAGGACCTTTTCTTTTTAGGATACAGTGTACTCATGTCCTTTGTGTTATTGGAGCCATCCTGGCCAAGAGTCCTAAAGAAGCCATTCGTCTGATATAGGTAGTCTCAGCAACCTGCCATGTCCAGATGTCTGACCGCAGGATTCCCGTAATCAAAGCCCTGCAATCCACCGGCAAGTGCTTATTCCTTGGGCTAGAGGTTGGGCCCTTTGGGGGGATACTGCAGGGACCACACCTGTGACTTCTGACTGGGGCTGGATGTGAATGCCCTCAGGATGTTGTTCCTCAGCTGAACTCGTTAAGGGGGGAAGATGACAATCACAGCAGATAGAGTGTCTGAGCACTTCTGTGGATCAGGACCCACAGGTCACATGCACTATCTACCAGATTTCAGCCTCCAGCAACCTTGAGAAATGGGAGTAATCCTCATAGTCTTACAAGTGAGGAAACGGAGGCCCAGAGATATGAAGTGTGTGAAGAATGTTGCTTGGCTCCTGAGTAGCAGAATCTGCTCCTACCGCCCCCTGCTGGAGACATAGGGTGGGTCTCCCTTGCGTCTGTGCATATATTATAGCCCCCTGAGCCTCTGACGTACATCTAAAAAATGAGAAAAATACCTCCCATTTCAATGGCTGTGGTGAGTGTGAAGTAAAATAATTGGTACAAAAGGGCTCCTGTCCTGGAAATAATAAAGATTAGAGCAGAATCAAGGCTTACTGAAACAAACAAACAAACAAACAAAAAAACAGTAGAAGAGATCAATGAAACCAGAAGCTGGTTCTTTGAAAGAATTAACAAAATTGATAAACCACTAATCAGTTTGATCAAAAAGAAAAAGGAAAGGACCCAAATTAAAGGGCTCCTGTCCCAAGCAACTTACACAGAGAAAAAGAATAGAGATATGGTTCTTGGTTGCAGTATAGGTGCTGAGCTGGCCAGGACCAAGAAACTGCCTCTTAGACTTGAGTTTTTTCTGTGGTCGACTGAGCTGCCTCCACATACTCTTAATACAAAGTGGGTCTTATATACAGAGCTGGATTCCTGGGTCCCAGGCTTCCAAACTTCTCCTGTGGCTCTGCTCCAGAGCCATGATTCTGGAACCTTCTCATGCCTAGCCACCCCCACTCTCTTCTACTTCAGTGCCAGCCCACTGGGAGCTGCCCGAGTAAAGAGCCTGCTATGTCCACAGGGACCTTCTCAGGATGAGTGTTTCTATGATCCTTGTGGCAAGGAGCCTATGGGATCGTCCCTAAACTGGATATGTTGGCAGTCACTCATCTCCCTGTGATGTGTGTTCTGTTGATGGCAATGGAAGACCACTTTGCTCAGGATGAGATGTGGCCCTGGGGCTGCCCTCACCCCTCAACCCCACTCCACATCATGGGTGGAGGTTGCTTCTAAAATGGGGTATGACCCTTTGTCTCTGTGGAAGCTAAGGGAAAATAACATGGCACAGAGAGGTCGTGGACAGAGAATCTGCACTCCAGCCAAGTTCATGTGAACCAGAAGATATATGCCACTACTCTCCCATTCCAGGGGTTTACAGTTGCCAGGGCTGCTGGAAAGGTACTAGCCACCCAGACGAGTTGGATAGGTACAAGGTCCTGGATAGGTACCCTCACCTATGGATGAGAGTACAGATATGATGGCTGCCTTGTCCAAAGATGAGGAGAGATGAGTGAAGAGTAGTTTGTTCTCACGACACAGGTAATATCTTGGCTGTTGCTCAACTTCCACAGAACTGCCCGAAGACTACTAGGCACCAGTAGCACCGGTGCTGTCCATGTGCTGCCCCCCTCACTTCCTTCCTCCAAACTATAGAATCTGTATCTAATCTGGCGTTGGGGGAAAATATCCTCACAGGACATCTTTCTAAATCTTTGATATCAAAATTTAGGATTTGGAGGTAAAAACCAGAATTAGTCTTTTCCTACCTGCTTCTGACATATCATTTATCCCCCATTAATCATGAAGCCCCATCCTATTTTCACCTGCCTGAGTTCATGTGCAACGATATGGACAGCCTCCCCGCTGCACCCCCCCCCCACCCCGCCTCCCAGCAGACACTCCTGCTCACTGTTTGCCTCCTCAAACACTTGTATCTCACTTTACTGCTTGGTAGCTTTCTCCGCCATGTGAGACCTTGGCAGGCCATTGTCAGGCTCACTCTGAAAGTGCAGGAGTACTTAATATCCATACAGCAACCTTTAAAAAAATACACACCTCCTTGATCTCTAGTGGGTCAATTCTGAGGTAACTTTCACACTGTCTCTGAGAGGGCTGGCAGCAGGTTTGAGACCAAGTTGCTAATAGCAGTGGCTTCCCCACCCCCCGCCAGTTTCATACCTGTTCACCCTGAAATCGCATCCCAAATAAACATCCTGTCCCCAAAACTTTGTCTTCAGAGTCTGCTTTGGCAAGAACGCAACTGACATTGTGAACCAGGCACAGCTACCTAAGCAGGAAGGAAAGGGAACCAAATAGAAGCCCAGTGAAGAGTGGGGTGAAGGGTGGGGGCAGGGCATGGCTGTTGATCCTTCAGAAGGAACCTTGGTTGGGTAGAGAAGTTTTCTTGTGTCTTCTATTTATCTAGGGGCCATGCATTGTAGACGTCTAAACTGTCCTGCCAATATATTCTTCTGGCGCCCTCTTAGCCTCAGCCCATGGGAATCCTTGGGATTCCAGGCAGAAGGATGCACTAGCCACTTGCTCAGGGCTTGGGACCCAAGCAGAGAGAGATATACGGAACACACTCTGGGTGCCACCCATTACAGAGGCAAGAGAATTGAGATACGTCCCCCATGAAAGAAAAATCCTACATCCAGCACCCCACCTGTATACAGTACTCGTGCCAGTTCTTGTGATGAAGACTGGCATTGGGTTTGCTGTTATTTTAGCTGGAAGGTTCTCTTTGATGTCTTTTTTTTTTTTCAAAGTATAAAAGAAGGATAAACTTATTATTCAACAGAATTCTTTTTTGAGGTCCACTTGAGGAATGCCTAGAAATCCTCCATCTCTTCCCAGAACCCTCTGATGCATAAAAAGCAAACTTTTTGTTTTCACTTTTGGTCATGGGGATCCGTTTTCTGTTATTGTGTAAACATTCAGGTATGGGAGACACTTGAAGCTTCAGGCATCATTTTATTTATGATAAAATATTCAGAACATAAAGCTTGCACTTTAGTTATTTTTAAGAGACAATTTGTTGAATTAAGTATACCAACCTAAGGGTAACTATCACCACCATCCATCTCCAGAACTTTTTTCATCTGAAACTCTCTACCCGTTAAACAATAACTCCCCATCCCCTTCTCCCCTCTGCCCATGGCAGGCACCACTCCATATTCTGTCACTATGAATTTAACTGCTCTAGTTGCTTCATTTAAGTGGAATCATACAATATTTGTCCTTTTGTGACTGGCATTTCACATAGCATAATGTCTTCAGGCTTCATCCATGTTGAAACATGTGGCAGAATTTCCTTTCATTTTAAGGCTGAATAATAATCCATTGAATATATATACCACATTTTGTTAATCCAGTCATCCATCAGTGGACATTTGCTTACTTGGACCTTTTGGCTATTGTGAATAATGCTACTGTGAACATGGGTGTACAAATAACTTCCCAGTCCCTACTTCTTCGGGTCAATACCCAGAAATGGAATTTCTGGATCATAATGGTGCCCTCCTCAATGCCCATTACCCCCCTTCCCCTCCCCCCCACCCCATCTACCCTCAGTTTGTTCTTAGCATTCAAGAGTCTCTCATGGTTTGCCTCACTCCCTCTCCCCCGTTATTTCCCCCCTTCTTCTCCCCCACGGTCCTCTGTTAAGTTCCTCCTAATCCTCCTATACATGCAAACATATGGTATTTGTCCTTCTCCTCCTGACTTATTTCGCTCAGCATAACACCCTCAAGGTCCATCCATGTTGCTACACATGGCCAGATTTCATTCTTTCTCATTGCCATGTAGTATTCCATTGTACAGATAAACCACACCTCTTGATCCATTCTTCCATTGATGGACATTTAGGCTCTTTCCATGTTTTAGCTATTGTTGAGAGTGCTGCTATGAACATTGGGGTCCATGTGCCCTGTGCATCAGCACTCCTGTATCCCTTGGGTAAATTCCTAGCAGTGCTATTGCTGGGTCATAGGGGAGTTCTATTGTTAATTTCCTGAGGAACCTCCACACTGTTTTCCAGAGGGGCTGTACCAGTTTACATTCCCACCAACAGTGTAGGAGGGTGCCCATTTCTCCACATCCTCGCCAGCATCTAGAGTTCTCTGATTTGCTCATTTTAGCCACTCTGACTGGCATAAGGTGGTATCTCAGTGTGGTTTTGATTTGTACTTCCCTGATGAGGAGGGATGCTGAGCATCGTTTCATGTGTCTGTTGGCCATCTGGATGTCCTCTTTGGAGAAGTGTCTGTTCATGTCTTCTGCCCACTTCTTCACTGGATTGTTTATTTTTTGGGTGTGGGGTTTGGTGAGTTCCTTATAGACTTTGGATACTAGCCCTTTATCTGATATGTCATTTGCAACTATCTTTTCCCATTCCATCAGTTGCCTATTAGTTTTGTGGGTTGTTTCCTTTGCTGTACAGAAGCTTTTTCTCTTGATGAGGTCCCAGTAGTTCGTTTTTGCTCTTGATTCCTTTGACTTTGGGGATGTGACAAGTAAGAAATTGCTGCGGTGGAGGTCAAGGAGGTTGTTTCCTGCTTTCTCTTCTAGGGTTTTGATGATTTCCTGCCTCACGTTCAGGTTCTTTATCCATTTTGAGTTTATTTTTGTGTATGGTGTGAGAAAATGATGTAGTATCATTCTTCTGCATGTTGCTATCCAGTTCACCCAGCACCATCTGTTAAAGAGCCTGTCTTTTATCCATTGGATGCTCTTTCCTACTTTGTCAGAGATTAGTTGGCTGTACACTTACAGTTCACATCTGAGTTCTCTGTTCTATTCCATTGGTCTATGTGTCTGGTTTTGTGCCAATATCATACTGTCTTGACTACGACAGCTTTGTAGTAGAGGCTAAAGTCTTTTACCTGCTTTCCTTAAGTTCAAGCTGTCTATTGACTAACTCCTGACACCTGGTTTCTTTGACAGCTCTTCAGGAGAAACCTGAGTTTATGAAGGTCTCCTCGGATCCTGTCTTGCTCCACAGGGCATCCAGGACATCCCTGAACCCAGGTACCCACTTGCACCAGGTTCAGACCTCAGGGGAGCCTGGGCTGCTGGAGTAGTGAGCAGAAAGTGGGAGTGTGGGTGCTTTGGGGTTGGGTGATCAGCTTTAGCTTGCCTCAAGGAGACCACTGAGAGGGGAAAGTCAGAAGAGACAAGTACCCTTGTATCTTGGAGAAGACAGGAGGTACATCCTTTGGTCATGAAGACATGGCCCAGCTATTGCAGATACTGGCTGCAACACAGAAATGCTGCTCACTTCATCAAGTGCCCTTTCTTCCTCTCATAGCTCTCATCATCATTTTGATGGGCTCTAAGGGTTACCTGAACCCAAGAAGCCAGAAGCTGGGAAGCATCCAGGTTGATGCATGCATGGCTGTAAGAGAACACAATGGTCTGAAAAGTGTAAAATTACCAAGGATGGTGTATCAACAGCCACAGGTGCTAACAGCCTCTAGGAAAGATATCCTTGTCATGACCCCTTGGCTGGCTCCCATCATCTGGGAGGGGACTTTCAATTCTGCCATTCTGAATGAGCAGTTCTGGCGACAGAATACCACCATTGGATTAACTGTATTTTCTGTAAAATCATACGTGATCTTCCTAAAGCAGTTCTTGCTGTCTGCAGAGATGTACTTCATGGAGGGACACAGGGTGAACTACTACATCTTCACGGACAGGCCAGACTATGTTCCTCATATTAACATCCAAAAGGGAAGGCAGATAATCATCCTCACCGTCCGGAGCTATGCCCGTTGGGAGGACATCTCCATGCACCGCATGGAGGTAATCAGCAATTTTTCCCAGCAGCGCTTCCACCGGGAGGTGGATTACCTTGTGTGTGTAGATGTGGACATGAAGTTCAGTGACCACGTGGGCGTGGAGATCCTCTCCCCCTTGTTCGGCACCCTGCATCCTGGCTACTGTGGGCTCAGTCGGACCGACTTCCCCTATGAACGTCGGCCTCAGTCACAAGCCCATATTCCCGAAGATGAAGGGGACTTTTACTACACAGGGGCCTTTTTTGGGGGATCAGTGGCAGAGGTTTACAGGCTCACCAAGGCCTGCCATGAGGCAATAATGGCCGACCGAGCCAACCACATTGAGGCCATTTGGCATGATGAGAGCCACCTGAACAAGTATCTGCTTTACCACACACCCTTCAAGGTCCTCTCCCCTGAGTACCTGTGGAATCAGCAGCTACCGTATTATTTTAAACAACAAAAATTGACCTTGTCCAAAATCATAAAGAGAAAAAGATTTAAGGTCTTAGAGAAGAATTACCAGCTGAGAGACTGATGACTAAAACTTCCAGGAAGGGCTCAGAGAGAGGTAAGGCTCAGCTAGCCCGAGTCGTCTTTCCTTCTGGCATGGTATTCTTCAGTAAACCAGTTTTAGCACAAAGGGAATGACTCTGCTGCCTTTTCCTACTTTATGGGCGCCTAGAACGACCTCTCCAAACTTAGGCCTAACACCGTCCCCTCCCCAATCCTCTAGCGACCACCAAATGCACACACATTTAGACTGTCCTGATTCTTGGACTCAGGCACAAATTCCCAGGATTTCCACCACCTCTAGTTTCTCACTGTATGATACCACCACCCCTCAGGACGAAGGAGGTGGGTGGTCTCAGGCTGTCCTGACAAAGGATCAGAGATGAGATCTTTTCCAGAACAAGGAAGGAAGCTTTCAGACACATAGATCATCACAATAAGGTTGGTCAACACCCCTCACCATACATAGTTTTTGGGGTTTTTTTCATTTTTTTCTTGTGGTGAGGATTTTTAAGATCTACTCTTTCAGCACCTTTGAAACATGCAATACAATATTAACTATAGTCATCATGCTGCCATTATATCCCCATGACTCATTACCAACTGGATGTTTGTACGTTTTGACCCCTTTAACCTATTTTGCACACCCTCCACTTCACCATATGGTAATCACCAATGTGTTATCTATCTCTATGAGTTTGATTTGTTGTTTGTGTTTGTTTTTTAGATTCCCTATGTAAGTGATATCATACAGTATTTATCTTTCTGTCTGACTTAGCATAATGCCCTCAAGGTCCATCCATGTGGTTGCAAATGGCAAGATTTCATCCCTTTTAATGGCTGAGTAATATTTCTCTCTCTCTCTCTCTCTCTCTCTCTCTCTCTGTGTGTGTGTGTGTGTGTGTGTGTGTATGTCTGTATAGATATACCAAATCTTCCTTAACCATTCATCTACGGATGGACACTTAGATTGTTTCCAAATCCTGACTATTGCAAATGATGCTGCAGTGAACCGGAGTGCAGATATCTTTTAGAGTTAGCGTATTCATTTTCTTCAGTAAATACCCAGAAGTGGAATTGCCAAATCACACGATAGTTTTGTTTTCATTATTTTGTGAAATCTCCATATGGTTTTCCTTACTGGCTGTACCAATTTAAATGCCTACTAACAATGCTTAAAGGCTCCCTTTTCTCCAAAGCCTTGCAAACATGTTACTTCTTGTCCTTTCCATAACAGCCATTCTGACAGGTGAGAGGTGATATTGTGATTTTGATTTGCATTTCCCTGGTATTGAGTGATGTTGAGTGATCTTTTCATGTGTCTGTTGGCCATCTGGATATCCTCTTTGGCGAATTGTCTGCTCATATATTCTGCCCATTTCATCAGTGTGTTGTTTTTCGAGTGTGGAGTTTGGTGAGTTCCTTATAGATTTTGGATATTAATCCTTTATCTGATATATCATTTGCAACTATCTTTTCCCATTCCAACGGTTGCCTATTAGTTTTATGGGTTGTTTCCTTTGCCATGCAGAAGATTTTAATCTTGATGAGGTCCCGATAGTTTATTTTTGCTCTTGATTCCCTTGCTTTTGGGGATGTGTCAAGTAAGAAATTGC